AGACTTTTGTCTTAGCTTTTACCACTTTGGAGCAGTCCAGTCATTCTACTTTAGGGCAAAAATTTTATTTTCCCATAACAAATCTGTTCTTACCAGAAAAAAAATTCATTCTTTCTGTATCACAAAACATAACCTCATACTTACATCTTTCTTTATGTTTCTCTATCCTCTGCTCACTGGTTCCTTTCCTACCCTGCATTCTTCCTTAAAATTTTTATTTTGAGGCACATGTCTTTTAGTCACAGCACTCAGGCAGCAGATCTCTGTGGGTTTGTGGCCAACCTGGTCTATAAAGTCATGTCAGCCAGGGCTACATAGTGAGACCTTATCTCAAAACAAAATTTATATTTAAAAAAATTTTTTAATTATATTTTATGTGTCTAAGTGTTATGTCTGCATGTAGGTAAGTGCACCCATGTCACGCAGTGCCCACAGAAGTCAGAAGAGGGTGTCGGATCCTCTGGAACTGGAGTTACTGGCGGTTAACTGCCACATGGGTGCTGGGATTCAAATCCTAAGGGTCTTCTGTAAGAGCAACCAGTGCTCTTAACCACTGAGCCATCTCTCCAGCCCCAAAATTTATATTATTAAATATTCTTTACAATATCTCTAAATTTAGATAAGATAATTTTTTCAATAAAATGTTATGGATTTAAAATTTTTTCATCAAAATGCAGTTTAATTTCTTTTTGTATTCTTTGCTTCATAATTACATGTTAACTAGAATCTTGACTCTTGATGATCTTTTTAGTGTGGATCAGGAAGAAAGCAATCCTAAGCTCTTCCTCTATATGTCAATAATTTAGGAACACACATTTATTAATAGGCCCAAATGCAGATGCCAAGAGTCCTTGAATTAATGTTTAGTAATTGATGTTTCACTGATAGAACTTACTTAGAAGTGATTCAGATTTCTTATATCTGTGAGCAAATATTTACCTGAGTTGTATAAATCAAAAGCCCTCTGGTTTAATATGTAATCGTTTTGTTTTATTTGAGCATTCATTTATCTGTAAACCAATACGAATAGAACTTTTTAGGATTTTTTTTTTTTTTGTCTTTTTGAGAGAGGGTCTCCCTGTAGCCCCAGCTGGCCTGGAACTCACTGTGTAGACCAGGCTGGCCTTGAACTCACAGAGATCTGCCTGCCTCTGCCTTCCAAGTGCTGGGATCAAAGGTGTGTGCCACTATGCCCAGGAAATTTAATTTTTTTAAAAAAAAATTAATTTTGAATCATGGTCTCTTACATAGCGCAGGCTGGCTTCAAATTCCAGGCTGGCTACAAACTCTTGTTCCTGTAAAGTGTTGGGATTATAGGCATGCACTACCACTCCTCACTTCTTTAGGGGATAAGTAGATGTAACTTGTACAGAAGGTGAAAAGAGTTGATTTGGCTCATAGTTGTCAAGGTTGGGAAGACTTGCTATGTAGCCCAGGCTGACCTCGAACTCACAGTCTTTCTGTCCCAGTCGCCTAAGCACTGGCATGCCATGTGCTTCCACACTTGGCTTTAAACTCTGTCCCAAAGAGCATATGTCCCACTCTGAAAAAGTGAATTCACACAAATGCAAACACAAATGAACCTATTCTTAATTTGGGTAAAAGTCTAGTAACTTTTTCTAGAGTACCTGGTAGGGTCAGGGAATGTAACTTAGTGGTAGAGTGCTTGCCTAGCATGCACAAGGTCCTGGACTGGATTCCTGGCAGTCATGGTGTACAGCTATAATCTCAGCACTCGGAAAGCTGAGGCAGGAGAATTACAAGTTTAAAGCCAACCTGAGCTGTATAGCAAGACCCCGTCTGGGAAAAGGAGCACAAAAATGGAAGGGAAGGGAGTACTCACCAGAGTAGCTTATCTTGCCTCGATGCTGAGTCTGAATGCACCAAGCATCATTTCCTTGATCCATTCATCAGATGTGCAGGGAGTCAAGGGGACAGTCCCTGGGCAAATAAATGGCTTTGGCAGATGCCAGGCACTTACCTAGAGAATCACCAACGAAGAGCTTGCTGGCTCACCAAAATTTGTTACCAAACCAAAATTGATTTACTTACTACTAGTAAAGGGCTTGTTGAATAGAGAACAAGATGTTGAGGCAAGAGAAAATATTCATTAAGCCAACAAGACCTAGAACACAGGCAAACTAGGGTCATAAAAGACCATGTTGGCACAGGTTTTAAGCTCCATCTTTAGGAGGAAATGACTGAGGAAACCTGGTAGCTGGTAATGTATTCATTGGCACTGCTGGGTTAAAGGATGAACAAGGGACATGTGCTGAGGGAAGCATGGGCCCTTTCCAGATAAAATAACCTGTGGGTGGCACCAAGCCCAGTCACTGAATATGTCTGTATAATCAGGCTAGTTTTCAAATAATGTTATATAAATCAGCATTGTCAGGTTTTCTTATCCACCTAAAGATCTTTCTTTTAAATGTGGCCATGAACGTGTGTGACTTTATGTGGACCACATGTGTGCAGGTGCCCAAGGAGGCCAGAAGAAGGTCCCATATCCCCCTGGAACTGGAGTTACAGTGAGCTGCCATGTGGGTGCTGGGAACTGAATCCAGGTCCCATGAAAGAGCAGTAACCTCTCTTAACTGCTGAGTCCTCTCTCCAGCCCTTGTCATTACACTCTGGCCAGACATTATGTCTCACATCCTGTAATCCCAGCACTTGGAAAGCAGAAGCAAGATTGTTCCAGACCAGTCTGGGCTACATATTGAGTTCCAGCCTGGGCTACAGAATAAAACTTTGCCTAAAAAAAAAAAAGGACTGGGGAAATGAATCAGGGGTTAAGAACACTGGCTGCTCTTGCAAAGGACCTGAGTTCAGTTCCCAGCACCTACATGGAGGCTAACAACCATGTGTAACTCCAGTTCCAGTTCCAGGGGATCTAGCACCCTCTTCTGGCCTTTGTGGGCATTGCACACATGTGATGCACCAACAGACATGCAGGCAAAACATTCATACACATAAAATAATAATGCAAAAATAAATTTTGGTCTTTTTGAGACAGGGGTCTCCCTATAGCTCCACCTGGCCTGGAGGTCACTATGTAGACCAGGTTGGCCTCAATCTCACAGATCTGCCTGCCTCTGCCTCGAATGCTGTGATTAAAGGTGTGCACCACCACAACCAGCCAAAAATCCCAGCACTTGAGAGGCAGAAGCAGGTGGATCTCTGTGAGATCGAGGTCAGTCTGGTCTATATAGTAAGTTCCTGGCCAGTTGGGGCTACAGGGAGACCCTGTCTCAAAGAAAGAAAAGGAGGGGAGGGGAGGGAGGAAAGGAGGGAGGGAGGGTACTTAAACATTTCCAGCTTCCCTTGGCGCTCTTCAGTGGTGTCTTTCCTCAGCACTAGTGCAGCACCTTCTCGCATACAAATACCTCATAGTCAGACAATGCATTGAAGCTCACTGATGTTCCCTGTCCCAACTGTCAGAATGTCGTCTGCCCCCCCACCCCAGGATGCCCTGGCATATCGGCTACCTTAATCAACTATCTCAGTGCTAGTGCCATGCACTGGGGATACTATGAGCAAAGCCCACAGGGTCCACCCATCTCCAGTCCTTGACAGTGTTGCTTCCAAGTGTGGATGGAAAAGAACTGGAAGTTCAAAGTTAACTTGGAAGATGGTGGTCCTTATGAGGGAAGCTCAACTTCCAATGAGAATAAGCATCGGAAAATGATCTACACCTTTTAGAAGCACTTTCTAGCACAGGTTCAGGGAAATTTGTGTTTACTGTCTATAGTAGCTGTCAGCATTTGAAGTTCATGGAATAAATAACAATTACAGATCACACAGAGAGGGCCAGCAAGATGCTCAGTGAGCAAAGGCTGTTTCAGCCAAGCCTAATGACTTGAGTCATCCCACATGGTAGAAGGAGAAAACTGACTCCCACAAGTTGTCCTTTGATCTCCACATGTGGACCATGGCATGGGCACAGCCCACACACACACACACCATGCATACACATGCACACACACAAATGTAACAAAAAATTTTTTCTTAGGGTCTCATTCTGTATAGAACTCATTATGTATGGCACTCACAGAAAGCCACCTGCCTCTGCCTCCCAGGTGCTAGAATTAAAAGCAAGGGCCAAAAACCAACCTCTGAATTTTTTAAGATCACATATAGAGCTGGGCATGGTGACACACACCTTTAATCTTAGCACTGAGGAAGCAGAAGCAGGCAGATGTGAGTTCATGGCCAGCCAAGTCTACATAGTGAGTTCCAGGCCAGCTGTGGCTACAGGGAGACCCTGTCTCTAAAAAAAAAAAAAAAGAAAAGAAAATCACATATAGAGCCAGCAAGATAGCTCAGCAGGTCGCCAAGGTGCTTGCCTCTAACACTGGCCACCTGAGTCTAGTCCTGACAACCCACATGGAGGGAAAGAACCAAATCTTGAAAGTTGTTCTCTGATTTCCATATACATGCCATGAGAGGAATACACACACACACGTGCACGCACACACAGGTGGGAAGGAGATTTTTTTAAATATAAAATAGAAACCTATAAAGATCGAATGATCTCAAATTTGCTTAAGTGACTCTAATAGTGGCAAATTTTGTAGGAAAAATAACTCATTTTGGTATTTTTGAAATCTGTTTTGAAACATCAATCAAAAAGGTGTCAAGTAAAATGAAATATTTCTTTTTAAAGCTGAGGGTTTTTTTGGTTTTTTTTTTTTTTTAAGGAAATAGCTAATCATTGGAAATAAGGCCAACTAGAAAAATATCTCGGAATCGGAATGTTCACCTCAGTGAAGGCATTTGAAATTTGCTTATGATTATTCTAAGTCTTCAGGCTTAAACTGTCACTCTTGGGATCTTGGGAAAGTGTATGTGTGAACTGGTTGCTGAGCTCCTTGAAGGGAGGCCTTGTTTTCTCTAGATTCCAAGCATCTAGCTTTTACAGAGCTTCAGCAGTGAATAGATACTTGACACTTACATGTAGTCTTGGGAGTTTCAATTACCAGCTCTTTTTTCCTATTTTACAGCTTTTGGCTAATGCCAGCATTTATGCTCAAGAAAATAGTTCTTGGAAACTTTTCCTCTGGCCCAGTGGACCCTATGATGGCTGATGCCATTGATTTTATGGTGGACAGGGTAAGGATCACAACAATGTGGTGGGAACATTTTGTCCTGGGAATTTTCATGATGTGAAAGAAAATAAACGTGACTCTTTGCTGATAAGTATGTATTAGAAATCTGTATCAAGCAGTCTTCTGTATTAACTTTAGTACTTCCAAACAGAGTCTACTGGTGGTAAAAGCTTGGCTACATTAGAGCCTCTCAACAGCTGTTCAGAATATCATGGGGAGCTTATAAAAAGTATAGTAATATTGGGCACACACCTTTAATCCCAGCACTCAGGAGACAGAGGCAGACAGATCTCTGAATGTGAGGCCTACCAGGTCTACATAGTTAGACTTTGTCTCAAAAACAAAACAAAATAAAAACAGTGTAGTAATAATAGTGTGTACTATACATCTCAAAAAAATAGAGGATTTTGAAAGGATTTACACCATAAGAATTTAAAAAAAATATGTCATCTTAACTTGATGTAAACATTACTCAGTGCGTGTGTGTGTGTATTTTGAAAGGTTACCCCATCTGTATGACCAATATCCATAGATACAATATCAGTTAAAAATAAATTGTAGTCAGGCCGCCTTTAATCCCAGCACTCAGGAGGCAGAGGCAGGCAGATCTCTGTGAATTCAAGGCCAGCCTGGTCTACATAGTGAGTTCCAGAACAGCTGGGGCTACAGGGAGACCCTGTCTCAAAAAGACCCCCCCAAAAATTATAAGGGTTGAGCTGGGCGTGGTGGCTTATGTCTGTTGTGCCAGCACTTGGGAGGCAGAGACAGGCGAATCTCTGATTTCAAGGCCAGTCTGGTCTATACAGTGAGTTTCAGGCCAGCTGGGGCTACAGGGAAGCTGTTTCAAAAAGACCAAAAAAAAAAAATTTTAAATAAATTTTAAGGGACTGGAGAGATGGCGCAGCAGTTAAGAGCACTTGCTGCTCTTGCAGAGGATCTGGGTTTAATTCTCAGCATCCACATAGAAGCTAACAGCCATCCATAACTCCAGTTCCAAGGAATCTGACACCCTCTCTGGCCTCTGCAGGCATTGTATATATGTAGTACACTTACATACATGCAGGCAGAACACACATAAAAAAATTTAAATAATTTAGAAAATCTTTAAAATGTGAAAATTTTTAAGCCTGGTCATAGTGATTATGCCTGTAATCTCAGCACTTGGAAGACTGAGGCAAGTGAATCTTAAGCTTCAGGGCAGCCTAGGTGATATAGCAAGACTCTGTCTCAAAAGAAAAAAGACTCCCAAGGTCTCATATCAGACAATCCATCTGAATTTCTTTTCTTTGGCATGGGATCTGAGCATCTGCTTTCTTTAGGGTGAGGAGACGTTTTCTTGAGACAAGGTCTCCCTGAATACAAACTCCAAATCCTCCTGCCTTCCCCCTCCTGGGTACTGGGGTTACAGGTGCCTACCACCCTGCTGGCTGAAGTCTGTTTTTACTTCACCTCCTGCCTAAACCTCTCAGGTCAATCTGATGAACCAGGTCTGCAAGCTGGCATTTAAAATGTTTTATTTTTTATTTTGTTTTATTTTTTTCGGTCTTTTTGAGGCAGGTCTCCCTGTAGCCCCAGCTGTCCTGGAACTCGCTATGTAGACCAGGCTGGCCTTGAACTCAGAGATCTGCCTGCCTCTGCCTCCCAGTGCTGGGATTAAAGGTGTGCGCTACCATGCCCGGCTATTTTTTATTTTTATATTGTGTGTATGAATGTATTGCCTGCGTGTATGTAAAGTTGCACCCGTGTTGTGCAGTGTCCTTGGAGGTCAGAAGAGGGTGTCAGATTGCCTGGATCTGGAGTTATAGACAGTTGTTAGCTTGCATGTGAGTGCCGGTCCAGGTCCTCTGAAGTGCAGCCAGTGCTCTTAAGCACTGAGCTATTGCTCTAGCCTCAAGCTGACATTTAGAACCAATGGGCAGATGATTCTGAGACCTTTTCCAGTTCAAAGATCCCTTAAATGTTTGTCTGTCACTTTTGATGCACTAAGTGGTGTGCTCTGTTCATTGCACCTTGTTTAAGAGGGTTATAGAAGACCAAGATCCAATCAGGTTCCAAAATAGAAAAAGCCTGAGAGGCCCAGCATAGTCTCTCAAGTACATTGTGTTCTCTCATTGGTGACTTTCTGGCCCCACTATACACAGTACCATCTGTATAAACATAAATGCCATCTGTGACAAATAAAATTACTTTAAAACCCTTACCTGTGTTCTTCCTACAGTTGGAGAGTTTGGGTCAGAGTGAACTGGCTTCAAGACTAACCCTCAACTGTCAGAATTCTTATGTGGAACCTCATAAAATTCGGGACATCCCTGTAACCATCATGGATGTAAGTTCCCTTTCAAGTATTATTGATACTTTACCATTGTTTTTGTTTTTTTTTAATGTGTATGAATGTATTGCTTGCATGTATGTAAGTGCACCCATGCTGTGCAATGCCCATGGAGATCAGAAGAGGGCGTCATATCCCCTGGAACTGGAGTTATGAATGGCTGTTACCTACCATGTGGGTGTTGGGAAACAAACCCAGGTCCTCGTGTAAGAGCAGCCAGTGCTCTTAACTGCTGAGCCATTTCTTCAGCCCTAGATGCTTTACCATTTTAAACGTATGTGCCAAGATATAATTATTTTGTAACTCGAACTGTGCTTTTCTCTTTAAATGCTGCCTTGGCTTCTGTTTTTACCACTCAGCTTTCTCAGTTTCAAAGTAATCTGTTGCTCATCCTGGATTTTTCCTGACAAGAATAACATTGTGTGTGGGTCATGTAGTGCACACCAGTGATCCAAGCACTTGTGAGGCAGACAGGATTGCAGCAAGTTTTAGGACAGCATAGGGAGGCTCTGTCTCAACTCTTCACCCACCAAAAAAAAAAAAGAACTAAAGCTAAATTTTAACAAGCCTGGCAGTCTTCACCAAATTGGGTGGGTTGTTTAGGGGGTTTTGTTGTTGTTTTTTGGTTTTGTTTGTTTGTTTTTTCAGTGCTGGGGTAGAACCCAGGACTTTTTTTTCTTTTTTTGGTGTTTGAGACAGAGTCTCCCTGTAGCCCCAGCTGGAACTCACTGTGTAGACCAGGATAGCCTTGAACTCACAGAGATCCGCCTGCCTCTGCCTCTGCCTCTGCCTCCCGGGTGCTGGGATTAAAGGCTTGCGTCACCACACCTGGCAGAACCCAGGACTTTTGATATGCTGACACTGCACTGAGCTATATACCTCAGCCCCCATTTTGGCATATTTTTGTTTCCTCATCAACAGCAACTATATTTTAGCTATTTCATATCTTGGCAGCAAAGGAAGAGACTTGTCTCATAAGAATAGAGAATCAATTTACCTACATGCAGGCAATATACTTGTACACATAATAATAGTAAATAAAATTTTAAAAAATTTTTTAATGGAGAATAACTTGTAGGGACATTAAAAAAAAAAAGAGAGAATCAAGAATTCCACAGAGTAGGGCTGGTGAGATGACTCAGTGGGAAAGTATCTGCTGCCAAGCCTAATGACTTCAGTTCAGTTCCCAGGACTGTCATGGCAGGAGAAGGATGACACCCAAAGGTTCCTCTGACCTCTGTACATGTGCCGTGGCAAGTGCATGCATGCCCACACAAAATAAACATAAAAAATATTGAGGCTGGAGAGATGGCTCAGGGCTTAAAATCACTGGATGCTCTTTCAGGGGACTCAGGTTCAGTTCCTGGCATCCACATGCCAGCTAACAATCTCTGTAATTCCAGATTCAGTGCCCTCCTCTGGCCTCCACAGCCATTGCACGACATGGGTACACTTATATGCATGCAAGCAAAACACTCATACACAAAAAATGAAAATAAATATTTAAAAAACACCATTTTATTATTTTTTTTATTTTATGTGTGTGGGTGTATTGTCTGCATGTAGGTAAGCGCACCCGAGTCATGTAATGCCCGCAGAAGACAGAAGAGGCTATTGGATCCTCTGGAACTGGAGTTACCGACAGGTGTTAGCTGCCATGTGGGTGCTGGGATTCGAACCTGGGTCTCCTGCAAGAACAACCAGTGTTCTTAACCGCTGAGCCATCTCCAGCCCATAAAATGTTTTTTAAAAATGTTTAAAATATTTTTAATTCTGGGCTGGAGAGATGGCTCAGCAGTTAAGAGCACTGACTGCTCTTGTAGAGGACCCGGGTTCGATTCCCAGCACCCACATATTGGCTACAAACCATCCTTAACTCCAGTCCCAGGGGATCTGACAGCCTCTTCTGACCTCCGTAGGCATTGCATGACACAGATGCACTTACCTACATGCAAGGAATACACACATACACATAAAAATAATAAAATTTTTAAAAAATATTTTAATTCCATAAAGTATAATTAGCATAAAAGCTTGTCATTGTAGTAAAACATTATGACATTTTCCACTTTAACCATTAAGTATGCAAGTCTGTGACATTAAGTAGATTGACAATGTTGTGCAACCATAACCAAGATCCACTTACAGAACTTTTTTGTCATTCATGCAAACTGTCAGACAGTAACTCCCTATTCATTTCCCTCCAGCCCCTGGCAACCAGCAGTCTGCTTTGTCTCTGGATTTGCCTGTTCTAGGTGAACCATCTATTTATGTCTAGATCATTTCACATAGCACAATGGCTTTAAGAATTACTGAGGCCATAATGTATCAGAATGCCATTCATTTAAGGCTATGTTTTTGTATTTTGAGAAACAGGATCTCCGTATAGCTCCAACTGGCCTAGAACTCACAGAGGTCCACCTGCCTCTCCCTCCTGAGTGCTGGGATTAAAGGCATGTGCCACCACACCTTGAGATATTATGTAACGTCTACATTTTGTTAATCTTATCTGTCAGTGGACATCTAGGTTTCCAACTTGTGGCAATTACATATACTATGTCTGTTAATGTTGGTTTGGGTTTCTGAATCCCTGCTTTTAAATCTTGTAATTCCGCTTTGAACTTTCTGAGGAACTTCCATGTTGTCTTCTCTATCACTTTCACTTCCCCCACTGTGCATGAGGGTTCTAGTTTATTTCTTCATATTCTGGACAAGGGTTTCTTTTTATTACCCTAATGAAGTTGTAGCTCACTGTGGTTTTTTTGCTGCTGGGAATTGAGCCCAAGGCCCTCATGGTAAGCATACGTTATACCACTGAACTCTACCCCCAGTCCCAACATTTTTTAATTATGTAACTATTTTGTCTCATACATGGATTTATTCCCAAATTTACATAGTTCAGTTTTACTTACTTTTTGGTCTTTTTTGAGACAGGGTCTCCTTGTAGCCCCAGCTGGCCTGGAACTCACAGATATCTGCCTGCCTCTTGCCTCCCAAGTACTGGGATTAAAGGCAGGTACCACCACACCTGGCTAATAGCTTGGTTGTCAAAAAATTTTCTGTTCTGGGCCTGGAGAGTTGGCTCAATGGTTAAGAGCACTGGTTGCTCTTACAGAGGACCCAGGTTTGGTTCCTAGCAGCTACATGGAGGCTAACAACCATCCATAACTCCAGTTCCAGGGGATCCTATGCCCTTTTCTGGCCTCTACAGGCATTGCATTTACATACATGCAGTCAAAACACTCATACATATTTTATTTTTTATTTTTTTGGTCTTTTCGAAACAGGGTCTCTCTGTAGCCCCACCTGGCCTGGAACTCACTATGTAGATCAGGCTGGCTTTGAACTCCCAGAGATCTGCCTGCCTCCCAAGTGCTGGGATTAAAGGCGTGTACCACCATGCCCAGCATAAATTTTTTTTTTAAATAAATAAATATTTTTGGCCAGGCGTGGTGATGCACGCCTTTAATCCCAGCACTCAGGAGGCAGAGGTGGGTGGATCTCTGCGTTCAAGGCCAGCCTGGTCTCCATAGTGAATCCAGGACAGGTGGGGCTACAGGGTGACCCTGTCTTGAAAAGAACAACAACAACAAAAAATTTTTTTGGAATCATGTGTGATGTGCTGTTCCAGGAAAGGATCTGGACTTCTCACCTTTACTTTTTTTTTTTTTTTTTTGTCTTTTTTAGACAGGGTCTCCCTGTAGCCCCAGCTGTCCTAGACCTCACTATGTAGACCAGGCTGGCCTTGAACTCAGAGATCCACCTGCCTCTGCCTCCTGAGTGTGGGATTAAAGGCGTGCGCCACCATACCCGGCAGCACCTTTACTCTTTAAATAGCTTTTGGAATTTTCTTTTTTTACTGAACACAAAAGACTTATGTAACTATTTTAACTAATAATACAATTCTCTTGAGATTTCATGATCTTTTGGAAATTGGCATTTTCAGTGATTGTTCACAGTTATTCTGTTAATTAACTATATTTGAGGAAATTCGTGGGAGAATTTCCCTGCACCCCCACAAAAAAATGAGACGTTTGGTCTTGGGTTAGCATTAGAGTTGTTTTTGTGTGTGTGATTTGTTTTGGCTGTGGGGATGGAACCTGGGGCCTTGCACATGCTAGGATCTCTAAGATCTCTACTATGCAGCTGTATTCCCAGCCTGTTGGGTTGGAGTTAAAGGTGACCAGGAACAGCACTAGGAGGTGGCTCAAGCTGCTCTGGAACTCACCATGCGTCTTCATAGGAAAGAAATGCTTGGGTGATACTTTGACACTGTGAAAAAAAAGTGCTAAAAATACCATTAGGTTTCAGCCTTGTGTTTTCTCAAAGGTGTTTGACCAGAGTGCACTTTCAACTGAAGCCAAGGAAGAAATGTACAAACTGTATCCCAATGCTCGGAGAGCTCACCTTAAAACAGGTGGCAATTTCCCTTACCTGTGCAGAAGTGCAGAGGTGAATCTATATGTGCAGGTAAGTCCAGCCTGGAGTCTAGAGCACTGACACTGAACGCAAAGGTAGTTTGTAAAATAAAGCTTTTTTTTTGCTGGGGAGGGTAGTGAATTGAGTAAGGGAATGAGAGAAGTTTTTGTAGGAATGGGGTTGACTTGATAAAATGTTCATAAGTTATGGAAGAATTCAAACATTATTAGAGACCCAGGCAACCCTTCCTACCAACATCCTGCCATCCACACAGTGTGACAGCCAAAGTGAAACAGTGAATTCAGCTGAAGACGCCAGCTCCAAATGGGGCCACTCCAAGTCTTATGAAAGGACTTCTTGATCTAATACCTTTTTAAGGAAAAGTACATTTGTTTTGGTCTTTTAAAGACAGGGTCTCCCTGTAGCCCCAGCTGGCCTGAAACTCACTATGTAGATCAGATTGGCCTCAATCTCGTGGAGATATGCCTGCCTCTGCCTCCTGAGTGCTGGGAATAAAGGCATGTTCCACCATGTGCCTGGCCAATGAATTTCCTGATGTAAGCACTTA